GAAAAATTGTTTTTGTGTTGGATAGTCCATTTATCGAGGAAGGCTATAGGCTATAAAACATCACGCTACGATTAATAGGTGCCGAGCAGAGCGAGTGAAACCGCACGGAAGTAGTTAGTATAAACATACATACAAACTATCGCATGTATAATATTAGTAAAATTATAATTTTAGTGACTGCCTCATTGGCCTAGTGGTCGCAAGGGGTCTCGGGTTCGATTCCCGGGTCGGGCAAAGTATTACTGAGATTTTTTAGTAGTTCTCAGAAGTAGCATGGAGTCTGGATTTGTGCCCGGTATATGGCAATAGGCTCACCCCCTATTACATGGAAGTCATAATATAAATAGTCAAGAGTGGGTGTTACATTGTATAGTGGCATAATATGCACCTCTGCCTAACCCTTCGGATGTAAAAGGCTGTAGGATGTATATCCTTACTCCTTACTATCCTTACTAATATTATAAATCGGAAAGTGAGTTTGTTTGTTTGTTTTTTGTTCCGCTTTCACGCTGTAACTACTAAACCGATTCCTTTGAATTTTTGCAAACGTAAAGTTAGAAGTCCGGATTAAATAATAGGGTACTTTTTATCCCGGAAAAATTTGATATTCTCGAGGGAAAACGAAATTATTGGTATATATGGCGCTGTGTGTATTGGTATATGTCACATAGGCTACTTTTTATCCTTATAAGACGCAAGCGAAGCCGCGGGTAAAAGCTAGTATATTGTATAATTTTAGTAAGATTTCGTGTGTTGTTTTGTTTGAGACTGCACTTGTAACACTGAGTTTGTCGTTTTAACTCGTCGAGTACCGGTTTTATAGACACAATTAAAGAACAATAGGTCGCGGTCACCGGTGACCGCTTGGTGTTTGACAGTTTAATGGTTGTATAGACAGAATCCCAGAAGAAGCTCAGTTACAAAAGTGTCTACATCATAATGATCACCAGTCCGTGAAAGTAAACTGTTAGAATATGCGCCTCCTTTCTTATTCTCCACGCTTGGGAAATGGCGGGCAGGACATCGCAGATTAAAAGTTCGAAGTTCGAAGTTTATCAAAGAGTACTGTTGCCCAGTTTATGTGGAATGTGTAGTCCTTAGTCGGCGTCTTCGATAACGCGGAAGGACTATGTGTGATGAAAAGTTATTCTATCCTATTTTCTCAGTTCCAAAGAGAAACATCTGGGATATTACTTAACTGTCAAACACCGAGCGGTCACCGGTGACCGCAACCTATTGTTCTTTAATTGTGTCTATAATGACGGTACTCAACGAGTTAATTGTAAAAAAAACACAGTAGTGTGCCTGTCTCGTTGGCCGAGTTGTCGCAAGTGCGACTACCGGGCAAGGGGTCTCGGGTTCGATTCCCGGGTCGGGCTACTGGGTCGCACGGAGTCTGGAATTGTGCCCGGTATATGGGAATAACTAGGCTCACCCCCTATTACATGGGACTCATAACATAAATAGTGAAAAGTGGGTGTTACTTCTGTGTGCACCTCTGCCTACCCCTTCGGGGATAAAAGGCGTGATGTTATGTTACACTGTAGCGTTTGGTCATCAGCCTTTGTAGTGATGAATAATTTAAATATATTTCATTAGTCATATGCAAATATTTTATCTTTGTGGACAATTAATATTTCTGTGGTGGACATGTTTAGTAAAGTAAAGATTTCGCGACATGTAAGTCTTAGTCTTACTAAACAATATAAATAAAAGTAAAATATTTTCTCTTTAGGAGTGCCGTAATCAGATGTAACGTAATGAATCACACATATTAAACTTACACAAGATAAACCAAAGACATATGAGTCACTATCAGTTACATAAAACATGTAGATATTTATTGTTTCATTGCTATTTGATACCAAATGGAGTTTATGTTTTACTCTGACAAATAATGATAATATAGACTGTAGGTGGACGAACTTTTGAGATAAGTTTATTTTATTTATTTTATTTTATTTTATTTATTTATTTATTTACTTACTTACATTTACCATTACAGGATGACCCAATGCGATAAATGCGAACTATTTAATCCTGACTTATTGCTTATAACTAATTACAAACAAAGCATTCCTTGTGAATTCACTCAGAGAACAGTAGAATAAGTCCGTCTCACTCGCTATGAGGTTGAGCGTGCGGAACGCACGCGTCAGCAAGTTAAAAATATACAACCGAGTTAGATTCCCCCATGGAGCAATTCTTTGTGTGATCCACAGATTGTTGTTCCTGGTCTGGGGGTCATGTGTATGGGAACTTGTATGTTTGTAAACACACCTATGACAAAATCCTAGTGTGGGAAACATTATAAATATTGAATTGAATGGAAATTAATTATGTTCTGTGTACAATATAAACCTTCATGAATAGAAAACTATATGCAAGCTTTCTAATGACCTCACACTCAAGAGGCATTGAGACATTAGTCAAATATGGCTTCAATAAATACTTATTACAGGTTTTTTTGTGATTCATCTCTGGTATGCTATGAAGTTAATCTTTTTAGACACTGAATTAAAATGAGGAATTATTGAATTAAAGTCGTTATCCACCGTCTGTCTGTCCCTAAGTATGCTTAGATCTTTAAAACTGCAACGGGTTATGATGTGTTTTTTTTTAATAGTAGAGGGATTCTTAAGTATGGTTTATGTGTATAATACAAGCATATTGCACCAGTGCAAAGCCAGGGCGGGTCGCTAGTTGATGATATAACAGAATTTAGATTTTTAGTATTTTGTTTTTATAATGGTGTATGGCCATCTCGGCTGATGATAAGAGATGATATGGCTGACAATGGAGCATATCTACCTATGAGCAATCTGTGCACAAAGGACTAGAAAGGAAAAATAAGTTAAAAGAAGAAAAGTTGTATTTTTCAGAAAACAATTGTTAATTTTTGGAATTTCTAGATTTCATGGAATATATTAAAGTTCAAAGAAAAGTTGTATTTTTCATAAAAAAATTGATATTATATTTAATTTTTAGATTTCAGGGAATTTAGTACCTACATTGTAAGTTGTAATTTGTATTGTATTAAAACTTTGTACTGACATAAATTGTTCATATTTAATTACGAAATGTTTTAATTACTTCAACAAAAGAGAAAGTGTTTAATTATAATGTTCTATTAATTCAGTACAAATACCTAGTGTTTTCTACATTTCAGTGAAAGTCAAGAATTTTGTAGTTTTTTTTTTTTGTTTCTCTTATATGCTTGTTAATAAAACATTACTGTATTACTAAAAACCATATTATGTACTTAATTAAAACTTAAAAGTTAAGATAACTGTCCCATTTCTATTGTACATGTACAAAACTTGCTGTTATAAGCCAGTCATGTATGTTTAAATACCTATAAAGTAAATGTAAGCTAGTTTTGATTGTCAATTGTAAATTACACTACTATTATTGCTAAAGAACCACTTGTAAAATTATTATCTTTGGAGAGTAGTTTCCAGTGTCATTTTAAAAAAAATACTGATTTTACATCTAAATATATGCACATCTAAAGATTAAATACTGTCATATAGGTAATAAACAACCCAATACTATAGGCAACAAGTAGGTACTTTTAGTATATAAACAAAACTACTCCTGTAACAAGGAAAACAACCATATTATATCAAAAATACTTCCCTACAACAAATACAAACCTCAATAGGATGAGGAAGACAATTCCTGTGCCTAAATAAAACAAATAATTTTTGTGTTATCTGTACCATGTATAGCAACAAGTTCTACATACAAAAAATTATACATAGGTTAAAAAAAATGAGTAACCTTACCTCCTGAAGAAATGTAGAAACCGCTTGGCGAATATTTTGCGACATTCACTTGACAAGAATGCTCTGTATAAGTATCCGAGATCGCGGGGTTCTCAATATCTCTGATGATAACGGAATTCCCATTGGTATACAGGAAGTTTCTACCCTTCGGGTCTCCGCCTAAAACTAGCGGTGTACCTCTCTGGGTCCTCGGCAAAGCCGCCCAAGTATATTCTGCGGACACAAAACCACACTGTAAATTCACTAATCACTATTATTTTTATACACAGTCAATTTTATCGATACGTTTCACCCGCTTGTTACTACTACCATGCTGCTTCATAAAACTAATATTTTAAAACTTACTATGAGAATAAGACATTATGTGAACACTCTTTACTAACTAATCACTAAATTGATAATGCTAAAACTATTGGTCACTCAGTACTTTTAATTATTTATAGAGAAACACAGTCAGCCGCTAAGCCCCATAGCCTACCAAAAAAATGACGTACAATAATATTTTTCGGAAAGTTGGTACAAGTGTCGCCCATTGATATTACCATATATGGGCAGAGGAACACCGATATTTTTTGTCAAAGTAATTATTTTTTTCATAATTGAATAACACAATATTTTAGATAAATAATACACATTTTGGACTAATTAATTTTCAATGTTCGTAACAAGCTATGAATAATTCTAAAACTAGAAAACCGTAAACTCTAACCTTTTCCGTTCAAATAACTTAGTCGAGTTTGGTCTCCTCTATGATTTTGTACACTCGTTAGAGTATATTTATGTTCTGTGTTTTGAACGCTTCAAATCCACCTTGTTTCCGAACGAAATAATCTGTTCGTTCAGTCAGTCAATCACTCTCATTCAATCAAGTACGCTCATTCACTTTCAGTGATTCAGTGTCATTCACTCAGTTCATCATCCATCAGTTCCATTTGTCAAAATGTTACGAACAAGCTCGCTCCGCTCCGCCATGTGACGGAATCAAATGAAAATACAGTCCTTTGTGATATTTTCTCGGCGTTCTTGTGCTTTACTTGAATGGGGAAAGTGATGCTTGCGTACAGTACATTAGATTACTACGACAGAATTAATTCTGTTACAATTTTCGGCTTTAATATTTGACACTTGTTTCCACGTGGTTCACGTCACAATTTGGTCGACGTGTTAATTTTCTACTTTTATAAAAGTTCTTGACCGTAATTAAAAGAAGAAATGGAGTCGTTAAACATCTCAAACCTTAACTTGTACAGCGGGAGAAGCAAGAGCTCCCAAGAAAACGGCGTGAAGTTTGAAAGGACAGAAGAAAAATTCGAAAGAAATGTGAGCATTTTACCATGTGTTATTTTTTGTGTGTACGTTTAATTTAATATATATTTGCTGTATTGCCATGATTAACAGTACTGCGTCGCACAAAACACAATATTAAAATCAATTTTAATGAAACAAGCAAGTCATTATGTGGGATAAATATTCGAAAACAGATCATTTTTCATGACCAAATAAAGATGTCAAAAATTCTGTGAACCTAACAAAAAAGATGCATTTTGTTTATGCGGTTGATGTTTTTGTTAATGGTTAGAAACATTATCATTTTAACTTGATGATTTGAGTAAGTTTCGTGTAACTACAAAATATGACGACATCAAACAGCTGTTTTATGAAACATAACATTCTTGATACAGCTGATGTTACATTCACCTCATACAATAAATCCATCAAAAATGTGTGTTTGTTTTTATTGAAAAAATAAATTCTTTGATAATAAAAAAAATTGAATTTGATATTGCTCACAATATTTCAAGTTTAATGTCGTTTTAACTAATCAATCAATTAATAAAACCTATTTCGTAATTTTGCGTCCAAAATGTTGATGGCCAAGTTCAAATATTTAAAAAAAGATAATGTTAATTACTTTTTAATGATTAATTAATGAGTGTTTCATTAAAATCATATTAAATGATAACACTATTCCTTACATTGAAGATGTCTTAATACAGTTGCATTTTTATTTAGGTAGAATATAATTTTATGCCTAGCGTGTATGGAACAATCTACTGTTAGTGTTCCAGCTACCTCAGAAAGGGTAGATAAAAATAAAATGATACATATCTTTCTTTCTTTGTACAAATAGTAAGACATAGAAAATATAATTTATAATAATGGTATATTGATATACAAAGATAACTAATTTAATGTTACCCACTTAGTCGAAATTATTAACTTTCTTTGATAGATGAAATGGCAATGAGTCATTCACATGAATATACTTGTATGATACTCTGGCTACATGCCAATACCCAAGCTATTAGGTTTTCGTGATTAATTCTAGTAAAAGTAGATAATATTGAATATTTTTTGAAGGTAGAAAATCATACCTTAAACAAAAACCTGCTTCACTTTTCCTATCTAAAATATCTGAAAGTGGTATATTTGAAACATACAGAATGCAGGTTTTAACTCGTCGAGTACCGGTTTTATAGACACAAAGAACAATAGGTCGCGGTCACCGGTGACCGCTTGGTGTTTGACAGATTAATTGTGTCTATAAATATAGTACTCGACGAGTTAAGAACTTAGTATTTAGGATCAAATGCCAAAAAGTAACATTTGGCAAAACTCGGATTGTATTACAACTTCTACTGCTTTGCGTTTTATCTCTTGCTCGGCTAATATTGATTGTAATGTGATGTTTAATATCCATGACCTTGACTTTCCTCAAAAAATGAACCATCCAACACAAAAAGAATGATTCAATACCAATCAATAGATACGGAGAGAAATGTGCTATTTCAAGAAACAAAATCTTAAGCTTTATTATATGTTAATTTTTTTTAGCTTTACATGTTAACAAAACCAAATTAAACTGTAAAACAGAGGTCACCAGTGACCGCAACCTATTGTTCTTTAATTGTGTCTATAATGAGGGTACTCAACAAGTTAACCCGTCATGTGTCTAAACGTGGCTCCACGCAGGACACAATGCATTTTCTATTGTGTCTTATATTCAGGCATTCAAGTAGTTAATGATAAATATGGTAAAACAGTTTCATATAATAAATGGCACGCCTTTTATCCCTGAAGGGGTAGGCAGAAGTGCACATTACAGCACTTAATGTAATGTTACATTGTTGCACCCACTTTTATATTTATGTTATAGGTCCCATGTAATATGGATGTAAATGAATTGTATTATTTAACTCGTCGAGTACCGGTTTTATAGACACAATTAAAGAACAATAGGTCGCGGTCACCGGTGACCGCTTGGTGTTTGACAGTTTAAAGTTCATTACTAAAACAATATTTCTTATTTACAGCACCTCACGGACCAAGATGAAGAGTACCACTGTGAATACAAGGAAGAAATATGGAAGAGTCTCTTGGAACAGGAAGCTGAAAAACCAACTATCCATCTTCAATCACCACAGGTAAGATTACAAAGTTAAATTATTTATTTTGCACATGGAATTGCTTCAAATGGGTTCGCTCGACCAGAGTGAGAGCTTCATAGACTGAAGTGTGTTACCTGCACAAATTCATGGTTAAACTTAATAATAGACAAAGTCCTTCATACTTATAGTTTGAAAATAATACAACTGTACATATAAAGCTGTGTTGTATGTGATAATATATCTCTTTCACATAAAAATGACTGAACCGATTTATGGTACATGACAAATATACCTTTATTCCCATATCCATTGAAGTTTTATACCAGGAATTATTATGTATGTACAGATGTCTTTTCTATTCACGGGACCATAATGATCCCAATTTATTTTAATACATTCAAGGGGTCAAAACAATAATATGCTCAATAACCTGTCATACAAATTTACCCTAAAACTGAATGAGGTAGAAATCAACAACTAATCCTGTATTACGCCCACGTGGGAGAACCATACTTCAGTCTTGACTGGAGTAAATCACCACTTTACAGAAAACCAGGGCATGAAGCAACGCGCGTTTGATTCCCCCTGACGTTATCCTTCCCAAAAAGCTAGCATAGCAAGTGCGTAGCTGGAATCCAAGTGGATTCCTCTTATGTAGAAACCCCATAGGCGGCGATAATTGAAATGAAAAGAAAAACCATTTATTTTGCTACGACACACAACAAGAATTTAGAAACACAAAAAAGCCTATGGTGCGTCGCAGCGCAAAAGGCTTGAGCTCAGCTTAATACCGTGGACCGGGCACAGAGGATATTTGATATTTATTGCTTACGATCAGGTCTTTTGCCGCCTTATGATATAAAAAATTTTGTAGTAATCGTTATGAAATGGATAATTGAAATTAGTCGAGTCTTGAGTGCACTTGATGATAGTAAGCGTTGATAAACCCATGATTAGGTATCAGGAAGCCAGCAGGCTAAAGTTTGTGTGCATTTCAATGTTATTGTTTATAAATGATATCTTTTATTTACAATATTATTTTGAATAATGTATCATAACAAATGGTTTGGTCGAGATTATTTATAGCTGTATATTATGGTAGCTAGTCCAGATTCACCCACTGCTTGGCTCTTAATGAACGTAGTAGGTATGATATTCTATACCTAAGCCAAAACAATCATCAACTTCGAACCAGTGGTTTTGGAGATTAGCGCGTTCATTAAACTCTACAGCTTTATACATAACTAGTGACCCGCCGATTATACATATAAAACTTCCTTAAGAATCACTCTGTCTATTAAAAAAACCGCATCGAAATCCGTTGCGTAGTTTTAAAGATCTAAGCATACATAGGGACAGACAGAAGGTGGATAGCGACTTTGTTTTATACTATGTAGTAATATGCATATAAGTACCTAAGTATAGATAGAGTACCTATAGAGTATAGATAGATAAAATACATAACCTAACGCCACCCTTTTTCAGAGGTTATGCTGTAAGTAATAATAATGCAATGTACCACCCACATTTCGTCAGTCATATTCAGCCTATGTAACAGGAGGGTGAGCCTATTGTTATTGACCGAGCAAAATTCCAGAATATTCTATAGTCGAAAATAAGTAGGTACTCTAAACTATTTGGTCAGTTACTTTATTGTAAAAGTATTGCTGTGTGTTAAATAAGTATGTTTCTAACAAACAGCCTGTTTTGTTATTTGAATAGAAGTAGCAAGTATGAGGTTTCGTGTTCGTTTCCTGCGAATTATAAAGGACTATTGTTTAAAAAAAACTAGAATGTAACACTTAGATACTGAACAGTTAAATGTGGAACAGAATGCATCCCTTATTGTACTAAAATCGAACAAGTCGCACAGTTTTAAAACGCATATCAAAGGTTTCAACCTTTTTTTGTTAGGTACCTAGTTTAAAAAAAGGTGCGCTTTGCCCCATCCGGTTTCGTCTATCCCCGTCTCAAAATTGGTTGGTTCTACTGTTTTGGCGTAGATGCGTAACAAAATTTGTTTTTTTTTTACATTTTACCTCTGACGCGTATTTTGTTCCTTGATGCATCACAAACAGGTTTATTTGTAAACAAACCGAATGACGAAACTCATTTTGATTATTTGAAATAAGGACATTCCGACCTAAGCTATTGAATGTAATTATTATGATTCATAACGTCTACGTTTTACGCAAGCTATTTCATCATTCTGTCCGTCCACTCTGCATTCAGTTTTACCTTATAGTATTTAGAGATCAAATTCCATTGTAGCAATTGATTGCATAGATATTGAAAGTGTTGCAACATGTACTTACATGTCTGTCTCCCCCTTAGGGCGTAATTTGTATGAACAGACCGATCTAAATGTATAAATTAGAATTATACATGTGATAAAAATGTATTGGGTTACTAGATATCTACGCCTTACCTTTTTATGCGCGAGAATTTAAGTGAATTTCGATCATACTATCGAGGCACAAAGTTCATTTTTGTTTAATCGTTTCGCCTTGTACGATGCCAGGTGTGCCCTTTGTAAGAGAAATAGCACCGAAAAGAAAAAAAACGAAACTTCAATTACAAACATGAAATAGAAAGATGCATATCGTAAGATTTTGCAACAGAGTACAGAATACCAGGTGCTCTTTCACAAAGAAGCTGTCTTCGCTAGGGTGCCCAAAGCTAGGGGACTATCTTTGTACCTACCTGTTCGGTTTATTGTAAGCAAATAAGGCCTGAATTGTATGTACATGGTAACAATTTGGTTGTCCCGAAACTTCGGCATTTTAATTAAAAATTATGGAGGCAACCCATTGTTGAGTAAGCGTTATGATGAATACTCAAATCTTCTCCATGTGAGAAGAGGCCTTTGTTCATCAGTGGCGCATGTACGGTGTGAAAAACTGGAACTTGTCGAAACTAGTCCGTACTAAACGCAGATAAAAATAGGTACTTATGTAGTTCTGGAACAAAACAGTGTTATCGCTATATTTCACACAAAACTTTCTAATTGTGCAATAAATAAGATAAGGGGATTTTTTGTAAGAAATTTTAAAGTCTTGAGTAATATTACAATATCTGATTTACTTGCTTACGGTGTTTATTAATATTCCAACTTTGTTAAAACAAACTGTCTCGTTGGCCAAATGGTCGCAAGTGCGACTGCCGGGTATGGGGTCTCGGGTTCGATTACCGGGTCGGGCACAGCATTACTCGGTTTTTAAAAAAATCTCAGTCAGCAGTCAGCACGGACTCTGGAATTGTGCCCGGTATATGGCAATAGGCTCACCCCCTATTACATGGGACTCATAACATAAATAGTGAAAAGTGGGTGTTACATTGTACAGTGGCATAATGTGCACCTCTGTCTACCCCTTCGGGAATAAAAGGCGGGATGATAAGATGTTATGTTAAAACAAACTTGCTAAAAAGCAGAACATGGTGTTTCGCTTTTAAACTTTTTTATACATATTGTGCATTAAGGTACAAATTCGAATCTCACATAGAATATCACGCCCGGAGCTGGACAGAAGAACAATTTGTGAATGACACAAATACTTATGCCATGCGTAAAAATGGAATTTAAGCACCTATATTCCTCACCATATCAATGTGATGGAATACACACACTACTAAATAATTCCTTAAAATAAAAACTACGTTTAAAAAAACTATCTACAACCCCTCTCCATCTCATCCCCTCTTCTAAGTAACAAATACTTCTGAGAACTGGATCAAAATCTACTAAACCGATTGCTTTGAATTTTTGCAGATGTATAGTTAGAAGTCCGGATTAAATAATAGGGTACTTTTTAACCCGGAAAAAATTGATATTCCCGAGGGAAAACAAAAGTATTGGTATAGATGGCGCTGTATGTATTTGTATTGGTATATGTCACATAGGCTACTTTTTATCCTTTTGTGACGCGAGCGAAGCCGCGGGTAAAAGCTAGTGTTATATAAAGTCACATAATTAAAACACGTACAATATTTTCAGTTTTGTTATTAATCTCTAGCCTACTCCAATTCTGTCAAATGTGTCATGAACGAAAGTAGACCACGTTTTGGTTACTTAGACCAGAAACACAATGTGCTAAATGACGTAATTTATTAGCCTTGGCCATAATTTACTTAGTCTCATATAAACTAGTTCGTTAACTGATTAACTTAATTAGAATATCAATATTTGACTAAATCGTTGTTCGAGAGTCCGCAAAATATTATGAAGTGACAATCTTCTGATGAAAAATAGGTAACTTAATGCCACCCAGACTATAATTTGTTGATACATAAAACGTAGGCACAAAGATTGACTTAACACCTGAGGCAATCACTCCCAGTCTGCTAATCAATCCCAGACGACTAATTTTTATTTTAATATCCGTCTGGTAGATTATTTAAAAACATTAGACACGTATTTTTTATTTTTTTTAAGGAAACGAATAGTTTTGAAGATATATTGATTTGAAATATCGCATTACGTCACTTTACACATCACGCCTTTTATCCCCGAAGGGGTAGGCAGAGGCGCACATTATGGCACTTAATGCCACTGTACAATATAAACACCCAATTTTTACTACTTATATTATGAGTCTCATGTAATAGGGCGTGATCTTATTGCCATATACTGCCTTATAATACCTTGCCCGACCCGGGAATCGAACCCTAGACTACTTAGCGACCGCTCAGCCAACAAGGCAGGATTTTTAATTATTTCTACAGAATCTACAGATATCGAAGTAAATCTCTCAATGATAGAATTTCCCTTCTACAGCTGGAGTTTCGTGGAGCCCTAGTACAGCAACTTCGTGACGCCACAAAGAAATTGGGCCTTAGCATTGCGACCTTGCACTCCGCCGTGGCTCAATTGGACTTGTTCATGGACGCTCACAGACTCAGGGCTGACCGACTTACGCACGTCGCTTTGGCCTGTTTAAGTTTAGCAGGTATGTGTTAAGAATATTGTTTATTATTGTCCTGGCAATTAGGTATATGCAATGTTATTTCTGGGACAAAACTCAATGTCTCAATACTCCACTACAATCCCCAAATTAGCGATTATGGCAACGGCAGCTTTTATTGAAGAGATCTTTGATTTGCTGCGGCTCTCTCTGATGATGAACTGATTCTAACCATCAGGTGATACCATTGACTCGTTTTCATAATAAAAATGTAATTAAGTAAAAACGCGGGTTACTCACGTGAATATAACCACAGAGGGGTAGCAGCAGGGCGCGACGTCGCCGCGACCGCGCATCCTGCTCATGAGGAAGAACCCCTCTGTGGTTCGAAACTAGTAGAGCTTTTCTCAGTATATTCACGTGAGTAACCCGCGTTTTTACTTAATTTAGTATATCTCACGATAGTTTTTATAAAAATGTATTTTTTTATTCACAGCAAAAAGCGAAGAAAATCTCAGTCGAGCGCCCACCCTGAAGACTTTGTCAAAAATAAGCCGAGTACACTTGTGTGGCAAGACGTTCAGGCAGCTGGAATGGATGGTCGGCCAACACGTACGTTGGCGTCTATTGTCACCAACACCAGTTTCGTATGCAGCACTGTTGGCCCAATATGTGGTCACCGACAGCGACCTTACCACCCGACATCCCAAGTTTGTTAGACGATTCAAACGAGATGGAGCTAAAGCACTAGAAGCCTATTTAGACTTGACACTTTCCGGTAAGTGTTATGCATATTTTATTAACCCACTACAAACAAAGAAGGGGTTCTCAGTTTGAGCTGTACGTGCATATATATATGTCTCTATCAATAATACGCCATTATATTGCGATCGACTAAACCGATTCTGATAAGGTTTTCTGAAAAGGTTGGTTACACTTTTTTTTTTTGAGGGGTTGGGGAATCATCCAATTTCTTCTCCCGCCTTGGGTTAGGCAGGAGGGAGTATCAGACTCTTACTGACTAAAAACCATCCCGTTCCTATTCCTACTCCTGCTTTTCGAGCCGGAGCTCCGGCAACCTGTTAGGCCTTCCGCAGCTAGTTTATTACACCTAGAAGCAAGTTTTTACGAATCTTTTTCCTTAGCTTTTTTAAACGTAGTTTATAATTTTGTAATATAAATAAGAAAAATATATGGTTTGTCTACAGATGTACGTCTAAAGGTGGTGGAGTGCGTGGACGTGGGTTGTGCGTGCGTGGCGTGCGCCCGCGCCGAGCTGGGGCTGGTGGCGTGGCCAGGCTGGCTGGCCGCGCTCGCCGGACGCCAGCCGGCCGCCGTCGCACCCATCGCGAGACTACTGCAGAGGTAAATACTACAGACCTCTTATATAAACTTAATGAACAAATTCGAGGGCCTAGTTATCTGTGTCACAGGGTTTTTATTATTATGGGATAAGTCAGTAAACTAGTATACATAAGCAATAAGTGCGCCCATGGACACCTGAAACACCAGAGGAGTTATGTGCGTTACCATTCTTTCAAACAGCTTCTTCCAAAAAGGATGAATCAAAACAAATGAGTAATTCACTATGAAATATTTTTGAAATAGGTCAATGTGCAATATTTATCATCAGGTACTGTAGGTATGTACATACTTTGCAAACTAGATATAAGTACCCTATCAAGTTTCCCCCTACTTCGAAACTTCGGGTATATATTGGGCAGAAGCGATGGAACTTATTTAATTTTATTTTGTAAAAACATATTTCTGTTTTAACTATATTTTAATAATGATGATCAAAGGCCGAAAAGACGCTCAAAAGAGCTGGTCGATATCCCTTTCGGTTGATATCCCGTTATTATGGTTATACCACCGAAGCGAATACCTGAGCATTACAAACGTATAGACAACGTATAGACAATACAAGAAGAAGGAAAATCAAAAATAAATGTGTAAATTTCAGGATGATGCAGATTCTGAAATCCCGTGAGACGTCTGTGGAATCTGAAGTGGATCAAGGTTACAGCAGCGCCCGGACGTCCCCCAACCAGACTCCGAGCACGTCCCCCACGCTGCACGTGTCGCCCGCCTCCAGTACGTGCAGCTCCTCCTCGTCGGCGCGCTCCCACTCACACGTCGACACCTCCTACCGTCAGCGCCCAGTGGAACGTCGACCTGACACCAACTACTCAGTCTTAGACTTGGATGACTCCAACCCTTCTCAAAGTGTCAACACAGAAAATTACTACACTCTGCCCACTGCCGTCGACATGACCGTGCAACGCGTCAACACATCGGCTGATTACAGGTATTGTAGGTCCAGTAGACTTATTGATGCTAGTTTAGAAGTTCAACCCTCGACTAGTATGGCTGTGAAGCGTGGCATAGACACCAATGTAGATATCGAGAGGAAGAGGTATCGACTAGCCTCACAGATGTCTCAGGTTGTTCTATGATCATGTCTAGTCCTTATTTAAGTCTGTATTCATGAATATACCATTTCACTTGTTGTTATAATACCTGGGATTTTCTTACCATCTCAATTTGAGACTTGTCAAAATTGTGGCGTGATGACAAGGACTGATTTGAAATTATTTTGTTTGATTCGGACCATTACATGACAACGTTATGGCGTACTTGCATCCAAATATTTTGACTTGTTAACAAGAATTTAAGTAGACTACGACTTCAATGTAAAAATGAGTACAAAAGTACAAAAAAGAATTTCGAATAAACTATATTTAACAAATAAAGCAACTGTCGACACATAACATAATAAGAGATAAAATATAGATTTGTTATAACAAATTCAGTCATGAATACAGACAACAGATTACACATACTTTTGATTTTCCTTTTAATATTTTATCTATATTGAGCCTACATGAAATAAGCGATCATAATACAAAATCGCTGTTTTTGACTAAAAAAAACGTTTTACTTTCGTAAATAGACTGAGAAAAGCTCTACTAGTTTCGAGTCACAGAGGGGCTCTTTCTCATGAGCAACAGTACACATCGCCTTAGTACGAGGTTGTTTTACGTTAAAAGTAATCGAAACGAGACCGCGTTCGCTGCTCTGATTGGTTGGTGGTTCAAAGGAGCCCGCCAATCCAGCCAGTCGCCGCGACCCGCACGCTGCTCATGAGCAAGAGCCCCTTTGTAGCTCGAAACTAGTAGAACTGTGCTCAGTATATTTAGTAAACCGTTATTTTTATTTAATTCAGTATATCTCACGATACTTACTATAAGAATATCGCTATTTTTGTCAAAATTTTGTCAGAAATACTATAAAAATTATGCAAAGATTTTATATTTCGGTTCTTAGTTTATATAATTTCTCGTTATTCATTAATGGAGTTAAGAGTATGTGTAATTAGTTAATTACATAGGTTAATGTACATATTCCAAAATATGTTGTTTATATTGCTTAGTTGATAATAAGTATGCTTTAATAGTGTACTGCAAGTGGTATTTAAATAATTTTTGTGTAATGACTTGCTATTGGTTTAATGTTTCTAGCTTTGATATCTGGGTAAATAAATTATATGGAGATTATATGTTTAGGGTTACAATTTGCTAATTCTGGTTATTCAGAAATTCTAGGTCTGGCTTAAAACTAGCTTTGGATGTAACTAAAAAAGTGCCTATTCAAATATAGTTCGCTAGAAGTAACCCATATCAATAATAGTATCAAAAGAAATTTTGTCATGGAAAAATCTACTGTATCACTTAACTACTTAGAATTCAATATCAATCAAACAAAATTAGACCAATATAATAAAATAATCATCTTCATGATATGGTGAAATCAATAGTAACACCTTTATTACACAAACACTAAGGTTTATTATTCTGAAGCAAGTCAAACAATAATTTTTAATCCACTTGCGTTAATTTATATTATCACATAACTCAGATAGCAATAATAATTGAGAAGTTTAATAATGTTGCTTTGTTATACCAATATAGTTAGTACTTATAGATATTTAACAAATACTGTTGAAACTTGCTAATACATGAACGAAAATAATTAAATAGAGATGATGACAGGGTATGAAAATTAAAAATCTAATTGGTCCGTCAGTTAGGTAGGTAGGTAATGAAAAAATATTAGACACGTATTCTTTTATTTTGTCGTATACGAAAACAATACTTTGATATAACGAATCAAAGTTTAGAAGTGGGAGGTAGCTACGTCATTTTAGATTTTAAATCGTACTCAAAAGTGACGTCATGCGATATTTCAAATCAATATATCTTCGAAACTATTTGTTTCCATAAGACAACAAAAAATACGTGTCGAATGTTTTTAAATAATCTATCAGACGGACATTAAAATAAGAATTAGTCATCTACCCTATTAAAAACTGTAAATTCAAATATAACGTATCGAAAACAACAAAAGCAAACTGAGAGCCAATTTTTCAATTCTCAGGTAAATTTTAACTCAGGAATAACTTTCAATATTTGACAATTCTCCCATACTAAAAACTGTCAAGTGTCAATTTTATTCTACAGTTAAGAATAATGGGTGTATCTACAGAAAAAAATTAACAGCGTCATTATCCTTAAGCCAAAGTTTGGCAACAATTCTGCTGATTAAATACAAAGTTTAGTTTCAAAAAATTATGCCGTGTCACTGCCTCACCCAATCCAATAAAATACATATGCTATTAGGTTACTGCAATTCTATAACGCAGGAGGATAATGATTTATTTGTTAAATATAAGTTAAAGTTTTTTAAAGAAACACCCAATTAACTGATGATTGAAAAATTGGCCCTAAATTGTTGACTATTTGTATTAGAAAATAAACACTGGTTGCAACGGCTTTATATGCTAAAAACTTCTCAATTATGCATCTTAAGTAGCGAATAGCTAGTGAGAATATTTGATCACCAAATCTCGAATTAGCTACTTAAAGCATTATTAGCATTTAATTTAATGTATTTAGTGTCCACCGACATAACATGGTGTTTTAAATTCATAACAATTTATTTAGTTAAACTTTTTAGTCGATTTTCAATTTGTAATAAACATCTAATCGAATTAAGTAGACACATTCAATTGATACTACGGTTTCAATGTTTTCATTAACCGCTTGAATGCACCAATATGAGACGCAATAGAAAATACATTGTGTCTCGCGTGGATCCACGTTTAGATACACGATGGGTTAAACAATTTTCTTTACTGTGTATTAGGAAACGGCTAATGAATACGATGTTAACTAAAGATAACAGTTTTCTCAGGTAAATATACTGAGAAAAGCTCTACTAGTGTCATGTCACAGAGGGACTCATCCTTATGAGCAGCGTGCGCGGACTTTGACTACTCGCAATTTGAAACTAATAGATCTTTTCTCAGTATATATACGTGAATTTATTAGTTAATTTTTGTTCATATGAAACTCAACATAACTTGCGACTGGATGCTACGTTGAATATATTATATCCTCTGGGTATTAAAAATTATGTTATGTATAATATAACATTCCATACAAACACAAATTAATGAATAGAATCATAATATTTAGTATCACCGCCATGTTATGTCTCGCTAAAGATTAATGACTGCCTTAATAATTTATTGAAACTTAATGATCATCAAAGGTAACGTTTGATGCTCATTATTTCCTTAATTTATAATACATAGTTAGAAATTTTGTACACAAATGTTAAAGGTGAAATTTGGGACGAATGGTTCGTGAGAGGCGAAGCTGCTTAGACTGAATTAAACAGCAGCTTTGTTGCAATGACCCGTCAAATAACTATGTATGACGATATCTCTTTAGTAAGTTCATCTATACTTGCATTATTTTATAACTTCTCGAATTGCCGTTGCAAACTTTACCTCCGCAAAAATATTCGTCTTGTCAACTCAATTTCACCTTAGGTACCAATCTAGTATAATATTTTTAATACTGTATCCGAAATAGCAATTATTGTAGTAAATTATGCTAATTACATTGTAATGCGAGTCATGTTATTTTATAAAGTAAGTTATTTAAATCGATTTTGCTGTTTTGGATGTAGAGCGGTTGTGATTACATACATTTTAAATTATTGTTACATTATCCTAATATTCTTTTCTGCTTATAAATGCTACTGTAAATGTGTCACCTGTTTGTTTTAACCGTTACAAATGTCACGCTATATAGCGTGATCCTTTAGCTATTTTATTAAAAATGCAAGATACACTCGGCAACATTGACCGACCTTATTAAAATTAATACCGCGCTTAATCCGAAGAAGCCTTATAAATTCCCGCCCAAATAATTTTAATGCACAGATAACTATTATAAGCAGAAAGGAGGTTCGTAACGTGTTATGGAATAGAATCTTATTTTTAAAAACGTTTTATTGCTCATTTGTAGTGCGATGTTTTAAGTTATTTTTGTTAGGTATTTTTATTGATGAATTGTGAGATTCCGTTCCATGTTCACTTTTTATGAAAACTGTATGTAGATGATATGACTAAATATGTGGTGTAGAAAAAGTGACTGTAATGCCTGTCCACTTATTTGACTTAAATTCGTGTTCTATTGACTTAACAAATCTTAGCAATTCATCACACATTTGGCTGTATCACTTTAGTATATAATTTTATAGAAGGGAGAAGGGAAGGTGAGTGTAAAATTAAATTAGGGTTTTTAACTTGAATGTAAATATATATAAGGTAGCCGAAGCGATGTCTAAAGTACCTACTTTCGAAAACTATACAGTCTCATGAAACACTATGTAAATTAGCTAGTTAGTACTCTACCATGTTCTATAAATAATAATCCCTTTTCCCTTTAAAACTTAATATGCGGGTTTGTAAAACTTTTCGTAATTTATGCGATTTAGTATTTATTGATTAGTTATGTCATTCACGATGTCATTGATTGAATGTTTTTCTTAACATTCGGTCAGAATTAGTTGTTCTCTGTTCATGGAATCATTTGTCCAACACAAGGCCTAAAATATAGTTACCAAAACTTTTTTATTGTTGCATATCTAAATTTATTTACTGTATTTAAATGATCATTCGCTACGGTTTCTTGTTACCCTCATAGCTATTTTTAATTTTACTCATAGTTGATATTTGTAAACTGAGCTTCCTAAATACTTCTGCCTTAATATTTTTTTTATTTGTCGATAAAAATATCGCAACACTATAGTTCTTTATTTAATTTCTTTCCTTAACTGTCTGAGATTTTAAAGTTATCGACAAATAAATTAAATGTACCCAAGTTACCTATAATAAATTATAAATCAGCTTCTAATAGACAATATAAAAAAAACTGCCAACATAGAAATATTTCCAATTAATGTTAATTGTTTATGGTATATAAAAATGGCTTAAAATATTGTAAAAATAAGTGCATACTGTTTATCAATGTAGAAATGAATGATTGTTCGAAGACTGAAGGATATGTAGTATACATTGGCATTGGACTGAACTGAAATTGAAAATTATTTTGTATGTCATAAAGAATTAAGTTAAAGACACATTATAAACCTTGAAATAAATATTTTACTTCTATAACTTTTGGTTTCATTTTCGCTCATGATACTTTATAGGTATTCAGTGAATTTCGTCGGTCATTAAAATATAATAAATTAAACTGTCAAACACCAAGCGGTCACCGGTGACCGCGACCTATTGTTCTTTAATTGTGTCTATAAAACCGGTACTCGACGAGTTAAACTCGTGACAAAACGTGAGTACATATGTACATATGTAATTGCTTCGGAAATAAAACACCCATTTTATTTTATTTTTATTGGCATCTCTTTATACAATAAATAGTTTATTTTCAATAGTTTCTTATTGGTTTTTTTACCCTCAAAAACTGGTTTTGATGAATATGAAATAAAATATATAGACAGCGAATAGCTGCTGATAAATATAATTTGTGCTTATTTCGTTTTAGATTAAGCTAATCGGTAGACTGATGTGTCATCGGGTGAGAGTGTAGGCAAACGTGGGGGGCGACGCGGCGGACGTCGGCGGCGGCGAGGCTTGCACTCGCAGTGCAGAGCGCACAGTCCAATCCCAGCGCAACCAGACAGGAACAGCGGTACGGCCAAGGTCCTGGTCACAGTAGCAACCTGTTCTCCACGAGACCAACGTGGCACAACGACCGATGTATCAGCTCGTGACCAAAAACAGGGGTATCTAGCTCCAACATACCCGTAGCTCGTTGTAAAGTTTTCACAGTCGACTGCAGGTGGATAGCCGCATCCTTTTATATTGACGAACAGGACAGCTGGACGCCATTCCTCTGAGTGAGCTTTATACTTGACGTGGAGCTGTGTGCATTTATACGCGTCGCTAGTACAGCCCTCTCTACAGGAAGCCCAAGTGCAGTTGTCCAACCCAAGTCGGTCATCACGTCGTTCAGTAACACACTCTGCTGGCACCGGATCGAAGTCCGCCGCTAGGGCACTTAGCGCTGGGTCTGCGTACAGTGGGACGAGGAAGAGTAACGCGGAGCCACCACCTCCCAACAAAGTAGCGAGTATGACAGTGATATATCGCGTAAGTTTAGCACGCGTTTCTCCTCTACGTCGAGAGGGCCGTACAACCAAGCGTTCTGAACTTCCACCCCTCATTTTGTGAGCACTGCGTCAACCCATGCTGAGTTGAAAACCTTGCCCCATATACATTAGCGCTATACGCATGCGTCGAGCCGTCAAGACGGTGAAACATGCGCTGTATGTTAGCGTTCAGATTCAAGATTCTTTACATTTGTTTGTAATAAATTTATGTTATGTATAATGTATGCTCAAGTATAGCAGCTACAGATCCGTAATGCGACAATCAAATAACTCCTATATACCTACTCCTATACGTGACGAACTGCCTTTAACATTTTTCTATAACTTTTTAAGATGGGATTTTACCACAGGATTTTACCTAGGTACGTTTTACACCTAGGTTCAGAAATAAAGTAGGTGAAGCTGTTAAATTAGATACCTACAAAAATATTATTCTACATACATTTAGCCGTAATAGCGATAATAGGGACTTGGACGCAGTAGTTTACGATACTTAACAAGATTTAACGTAATTACTTTTACTTCACCTTAATTTCCGACTCGTTAACTATCGTGAACACAGATAGGGAACATCATGATATTTTCCACTTATAAAAAAATCTATACTGAGCTGACAACTTTTAATACAGTCAGTTTTAGGTTTGATTCCCTGTTTGGGTAAAGTAGCACAATCAATAAATAAGTAATGGGTGTATGTAGTACATACTTACTGCTTTTTGTTTATTTTTTAAATGGTTGCTGATGTTTTGGGACGAATTATAATTTACAATCAAACAAAAAATCAAATCTTTCCTCTTTATACTATTAGTTATAATTTATAAGGCCTATCCGTTAGGGCACGGGCTCATAATATTGATGATATAGAAGTAAAAAAATGAATGTTTTAGTCGAGTTCTCGATTAATTTCTTGGATGCCCATCTCTACTCTATAGTAAAATAGTCTATGGTAAACTTGAATCTGTATTCTCTTTGGGCTAAAAATTAAAATGGCTGTCTGTGTCTGTGTGATTTTGATATGATTGTAGAATTGGTGCCGTTTATTTACTGTTTTTGTGTGTTCAGTTGTGATTATCAATAAAGTATTTGTCCGTAGGTATGTCGGTAATATTTTACAGATTATTTGTAAATGCATTGAGACAAAATCTGCCGAGACATCCCATTAAATCAGGTCTGTAACAAAATGTCATAAACACATGGGATATTACTGCAGTAAAATAGACCGAAACAAAATTTGTACGTGTTTATATTTTTGTTGCTTACCATGTGATTTGTGTTAAATGTTTTCCTTTTTCATTTTAACCTTTTCACCGTATGGGACTTTTTTTGTTAAATAACCTAATTTAGTAACCGGTACAGGGATCATCCGGTGAGTAGAGTATAGTTAGTGGTTCTTCGAAGAGGTGCTCCTCCTGTTTCAGATAACCGTGTGACTAAAATCCACATAGATGATAATTACCATGGCTCTCTAATAGTTACGCATTTGTTAAACGGGTAGCAAACAATAATACGGTAAAATATAATAAAATTAAAAATAGTGTCTTCGAATTTTCAAAAGTTGCGGTACTTAAACATGTTAATTCTTTAAATGTTTTAACAACATAATTTTAATACTGATCTCGTTGGTTGTAGTGCCGCATCTGCGCTCTATATCAGCCATGGAGGTAGCTACTGTGGAAAAAGTAGCAGATGGTAATCAAAAAGAATCTCAAGAAATAGTACAAAATAAAAATTTTACAAGGTTCAAACAACGGTTCATGAAGCGACAATGGCAGGATCCAGATCCAAATAAAACTGAGAATGGTGAATCAGACGAGAAGAAACTTTGTGAAAGACCAGTAGAAAGGATCAAAAGAAAGAAAATGGCACTCGTTTTGGGGTACTGCGGTGTTGATTACTATGGCATGCAACGGTAAGATTCAACTTTGACTACTGTTGTACTATACGGCTTCTCTAATATTACAAAATTACCATTTCAGATTGATTTCCAAATTAACTATAACTGATGTTTTCAAGTTAAAGCTATATTTGGCATTTATTGTTAAGTTTTGTTATTGTTATTATCTTGTAATCTTCATATCATACAATTTATTAACAGTAATCCTGGTGTACGAACAATAGAGGAAGATTTATTAAAGGCACTAATGGAGGCTAAATATATAACTGAAGACGATTTCAACAATCAGCAGAACACACAGTTTCAACGGAGTTCTCGGACCGACAAGGGTGTATCTGCTGCCAGACAGGTTGTGTCACTTAAACTACGTTAGTATTCTTCTCATTGATAACAAATATGTTAAATCAAAAATGTTCTTCTTTCTTTAATAACAACCAAGTCTCCAATTGATTATGTTGTTGACTATACTGCCAATGATTACTGGGTTTTTAAAAATTCTTAGTAGTAGCATGAAGTCTGGAAATGTGGCCGGTATATGGCGATAGACTCACCCCCTATTACATGGGACTTAAATAAAATTAAAATTGTGAAAAGTGGGTGCTACATTGGACGGTGGCATTAAGTGCCGTAATGTGCACCTCTGCCCACCTCTTCGGGGATAAAAGGCGTGATTTTATGTTAAACTGCCATTGTTGAGTAGTGATGGCAGATTTATTAACTGTCAAATTAAACAAAACTTTGTATTTTGGCTGTTCTATATAGTTTAACACTTTTTTGCTGATAGTTTATTGATTGTGTTAATTCTTACTTATAAAAACATTAACAATATGAACTGCATAGTTGACTAAGTAATTGGTGCTATTCATTGCTGTTTGCTATGGTATAATTTTGATGATAACTGACCCAAAATTTTTGTTCACAGCTCTTGAAGTAGATGTAAACGAAATAAATAAAAGGCTGCCGGATTGTATCAAAGTATTTGGTATAAAGAGAGTGACAAACAAATTCAACTCAAAATCAAAGTGCAATGCGAGAACATATAGCTACACTCTTCCCACTTATGTATTTGAACCTAGCTTAGTAACCGATGAGGAAAGAAAGCAATATAGAATATCAGAAGATAAAAAAGAACAAGTTAGAAAGGTGCTAGAAGTTTATAAAGGAACAAAGAGTTATCATAACTTTACGGAAAAGAAGTAAGTGTAGCCTTGTGTCATACTAAGAAATGCAGATATTTTTATTAACCCTATATAACAGTTGTACCCAGTGGCTTAAATAAAGGGTAGCAAATCGGCAAAATGCTATCGGGCCCCCTTCAGATAGGGTTACCACCCGTACTCTAAAATGGAGTATTGTCAGAGGACACTAAAATACTCGTTTTAACACAATGTTTACTTAACTTCTGCCAGTCTGTAATAATAAGCAAAAACCCATGATCAGAATGAAGAGTACTGTATCAAATTAAATTTTAAAAGCACAAAATAAATGATACTCTTTTTTGTAAGTAATAATACTCTTTATTTACCTTCTTTAAAGTCAGATATACTCTATTTCTTCTATAAAATGTTGTTGAACTTCTCCTTCGTAGGGAAGGGGGCTAATGAATTTACCATGCGCCTCAAACAACCAATTATTATTATTTATTTGATGATGATTTTTGTCGTTTGTTATGTTTAGTTTCTTCAAAAGCCTATGTGAAAATATTTTTAAAACATTTGTTGATTGGATGGAAGCATTGACAAAACATTTCTTTCAGACACCACCAAGATCCTTCATCGCTAAGGTACATGATGGGATTCACTTTAGACAGAGTGTTTGTTGATTCAGAAATGGAATTTGCAGTTCTGTTAGTAAAGGTAAGTCATGTCAATATTCATTATTTTTATTTATTTATTTATAATTTCATGTACCTACACGAAACAGACAATATTACAAAGGACTTTGTATTGGTCAATTTTTATTTTCTTTAATAATGGTTATGTATTAACTTTTTAATCAAAAGACATTTTATTACCTTCAGATTTAAAGTAGTCAAATGAAGAATCATATTTTCTACTTATTGATAATATCTCATGAAATAGTGAAGTTTCAAGTATTTCTTAATATTTGTTTTATAATGGGCTAGGCCAGCAAACGAGCTGACGGATCACCTGATGGTAAGCAATTAGAGGCGCGGGCCGCCTATGGACACCCGCAATACCAGAGGAGTTGTAAATGTGTTTTGTGTTAAGGATTTGTAACATTGTTGTTATTGTATTAGGGTCAAAGCTTTATGCTGCATCAAATTCGGAAGATGGTTGGTCTGGCGATAGCTGTGCTGCGCGGTCATACTGATAATTCCATCTTGAGAAAGCTTTTGGCAAGGAAAAGGTTATGATACCAACCGCACCTGGGCTTGGACTTGTCCTTGATACGGTATGTACCTTCTAAAAATTCGTAATTACATAACATAACATCACACCTTTTATCCCCGAAGGGGTAGGCAGAGGTGCACATTACGGCACTTATTGCCACTGTACAATGTAACACCCACTTTTCACTATTTATGTTATAAGTCCCATGTAATAGGGGGTGAGCCTATTGCCATATACCGGGCACAGTTCCAGACTCCGTGCTACTACTGTGAATTTTATGAAAAACCCAGTAATACTTTGCCCGACCCGGGATTCGCACTTGCGACCACTCGGCCAATGAGGCAGTCTTATTATTATACCTTCAAATTGATTATACAACTGGAATTATATTTTATTAAAGAAACAGAGTCACTTGCGTTGCTTTTGTTTCATTTCTTGATAAATATTTTCTTGTGCTTCTTATACTTTAGAGAAATCATGCATTTAAAATAAGCATAATTCTGAATACGCTAAAAAACATTAGACTTCATTTCTTATTTCTCTTAACCCATTTGGATTGGAAGTTTTGACAAATTGCTACAAAGAATGGTATTGTTCTGGGGTCATTGTATTGGTCAATTTTATCAAGAGGAAGTGAAATGGGAAATATTTTCGAAAGGAGAGGCGTTTTATAGTATGTTACTGTCAAATATTATAAAACTTTATTGTGATTATTGCTTGCTTATAGTGTCAATGAGAACAATATTGAAGAATATCCTTATTTTCAACTAGCTGTACCCACGACTTCGTTCGCGTGGAATAGTGACTATGAGCAGCCTTTTTTTATTTTAAACTAGCGACCCGCCCCGGCTTCGCACGGGTGCAATATTTATGTAAAAATACCTACTACAAAATGTCCTTATACACCACGTTCACAGCTATTTTGTCATTAGACAATACAAACATTTTTTATATTGATATTTTCCTCGCTAGAGAGCTCCGATAAACGCGTGCGATCGTAGCAAGTCATGAAGTGCTCTAGGACGAAGCGCGGCCATCAACGCCGCAACAAATACGTCCCTGCATTTTAAATTTGTAATATCTTCGGAAATATTCACTTAAATTACATGCTGTAAAAAGTATATTGATCTATGATAAATGCACAATTTATTTAAAGTACTTTATTGGATAAGGATTAATGCTGTATTCTACAGAGGATTCTCTGACTCTCTGAACTCTACGTCTAACCCGATCCTGGCTGCGGCGAGCCTCACGCTCTATTGAGGATTCTCTTTCTCTCTCAGTTCTATTTCTATCTCGGAGCTGGCTGAGGCGAGCCTCACGTTCCGTTGACGATTCTTCATCTCTTGCATCTCTTCTGGCATTCACTGTACTACGACCTATGTTCGCACGACGACGTCTTCCGGACATGACTTTATAATGTCTGTTCAAAATTTTACACTTAGGTACTCAGTACTTGATTAAACTCACAACTTAAAACTATACGTATGATTATGAACTAATTGCACTAATTATTGGTTAGTGCTGGAGTAAAAAATATTTACTTACTATTCGTTTGACTAAAAACAAAAGATTATCAACAACAAAATATACCTATTCTATTCAGTTCTTCTATGAACTTAACTATAATTTTCAATAATTGAAAATGCTCGCCCTAATACTAAATTGCCTTAACTCTAAATTCAAATCAAAGTCTTAATGGAAGAAATACCAAGAAATATGGTTTTATCAGTTTAATTAATTCTTGATATTTTCCTCGCTAGAGAGCTCCGATAAACGCGTGCGATCGCTGCAAATCATAAAGTGCTATAAGGCGAAGCGCGGCCATCGACGCGCTATTTATAGGCACGCGCCGCCCGGCGCAAACAACTACGACCCTGCATTTTAAATTTGTAATATCTTCGGTAATATTCACTTAAATTACATGCTGTAAAAAGCATATTGATCTATAATAAATGCACAATTTATTTAAGGTACTTAAATGGATAAGGATTAATGCTGTATTGTTTAAAATCACTTCGTAAATAACCATTTTTTAGTAAAGAATAAAAATGGTTATGCTGGGTTATCCCTAAGAGATAGACATATACCATCGCGGACTTTTTTGTTGAACTTTTTAAGGTGAACAATACTGTAGTACATTATTTTGGTCTATCTCGTAGGGTTCAGCCAGCGTTTGCAATATAAGCGCAAAAAAACGTGCTTATTTACGACATCACATTAGAAACCTTTAAATTTATCAGTGTTTCTCTACTATATTATGCATTTATTATACATACAAACCTTCCTTAAGAATCACTCTATCTATTAAAAAAAACCGCGTCGAAATCCGTTGCGTAGTTTTAAAGATCTAAGCATACATACGGACATACAGCGAAAGCGACTTTGTTTTATACTATGTATTGATATGTATATACTCACGACGTGATTCTTCAATTTGACATAACTTTTTTATTTATGAACCGATTGACATGAAACAAACACTAAAGCATAACTGAAGCATACCACAATATATTCGTGAAAACCGCATCCAACTCGGATCAGCCGTTTCTGAGATTAGCGTGAACAGACAAACAGACAAAAAAAAAGTTAATTACATTTTTGGGTTCGACATCGACATAACAATAACCCCTGCTATTTTTTTTATTTTTATTTTCAATGTACAGACAGCACTTTTCTACAATTTTATTATATGTATAGAATAGATTCTATTTAGTGGAATGTTAGAATTTATGATGGTGTCCCTGTATGGGGACAATGGGCACATCTGTAGTATATTTTTACAATATTTGCACCTGATTAGTATTTTGTTTTTAATTTATAAAATTGGTGACTATATACGCTAATTCACGAAGTTCATCACCAATTCCGCCATAACCTTACGCGTTCATATCTAAAATCTGATCGACATTAATATATTTTTCATATTTTTTTGCTAATATTAGTTTGTGGGCGTCATATCACTGAGTCGATAAAAAAATATTATATATTTTCGGTAGTTTGTATTTGGATCCAAATGGGTTAATATTCTAATATGAATATTAATATTTAATACATATATTTTATATTCTTATTTAGTTTTTTATGTTTTAGGTCCACTACGACAGGTACGACAACAAATTCAAGGACAGCCATGACAGTTTAACTTGGACATCTGAAGAGGAAGAAATACAAAAGTTTAAGCATGAACACATATACCCTGTAATTGTTAAGGGAGAAGTAGATAACAACTCTATGGCCTTGTGGCTTGAGAAAATGAGTAATCATTCATATGAACCATCGGAAGATGTTCCAGAGAAAATAGATGAGAAAGAACTGGCTGGTGGTGGGGATGATGATGATGATATTGACGAAGCTGAAGATGAAGGTGATGATGAGAAAAATGATAGCAAAAACAGCAATACTGTTGTGTCCACCGCTGCGCAAAGTAATATGGAAAACGGTAACTCTGATAAAAGTGGAAACCTATGAATATTTTGTTTGTAGTGTACAGAAGTAACTACTGACAAGAGATGAAAGTGTTGTTCTACATACTGTCTAAGTGATTGACTGTCCTTTAAGGTCTTAAAACATATATTTTGAATATACACATGTATAAAAATAGGAATATTAGTTTTAGTATAGTAGGTTTATACAATTGTAACTTAAGCATAATTAAGAATGTAATAAAATTATTATCTTTCTTTGACATATTAACAACAAACTGTTGTACTGTATATTACATTAGCAGGAGAGCAATTAATTATAAATGGCTGAGCCATACATAAGAAAACATAAGACAGATTTTTCTTTCAATCACAACCCAACTTGTACATATTTTAATTATGTATAGTGACTAGTTATAATGTTATATAACTATGCCACATATACAGAGCAAAGGTAAAGGTGTATATATTTTTGTTTATAGTTGGTTCCCCCCGCTAGTCTTAATTTATCATATTTTCTATACAAAATCTGTCAAATATGTGTCATTTCAACTATAAACCTTTTGGTAGTGTTGATCTATATCACACGCCTGCTAAGTGTAGAGCAGGTATGACAATGAGCTGACATGACTTTACTCATCAAACAACAAAATAACCAATTTACGATGATCGCACTTTGCATGATTTTTCCGCAGATTAAATGGACAGTTTATACTGGTTTTGCATAGCTCATTGATAATCGTTTGTAGAACAGAGAGCAAAAAGGCTTAAACCTTCTTCGTGTGAGAAGAGGCCTTTGCTCAGCAGTGGTTGCGTATAAGCTGTTGATGTGATGTGTGAAGAAATTCGAAGAAGTGATGGGAGAAACCTTAAAAGATTTGGGTTTATTTTATCTATACATATATTTACATAATATTTATATCTATATTTATTTTTATATAAATTATATCTATATTTATTTTTATATAAATTATTATATACTTTATATATTATTGTAAAATGAATTTGGTTCTGCAGTACTGATCCTTTGACCCTTTGTGTGAAAAGACTTATGTACTTATTTATGATGGAGTTCAAAAGTCGTATTTGTCGTCAGGTGTTTATACAAGACGCAGATGTTTGCCTCAAAGTTATGTCAGGCGTCTAGAAGTCGTACAAAAATTACATTTGTCTTCAGGTTTTAGTACAAAAGTCAGATTAGTTGTCAGATGTTGGCACAAGTATGTCAGTGGTCAGGTGTTCGCATAAAAGTTATGTCAGTCGTTCGAAGGCCGTACAAAAATTATGTCAGTCGTCAAGTGTTGATACAAAAGTCACATCAGCTGTAATATATTTGCACTTAAGTCATGTCAGTGCTCAAGTGTTTGTATAAAAGTTATGTCAGTCGTCAAGAAGTCGTACAAAAATTATGTCAGTCGTCAGGTGTTGATATAAGTCACATCAACAGCAAGATATTTGCACTTAAGTCATGTCAGTGCTCAAGTGTTTGTATAAAAGTTATGTCAGTCGTCAAGAAGTCGTACAAAAATTACATTAGTCTTCAGGTTTTAGTACAAAAGTCAGATTAGTTGTCAGATGTTGGCACAAGTCTGTCAGTGGTCAGGTGTTCGCATAAAACTTATGTCAGTCGTTCGAAGGCCGTACAAAAATTATGTCAGTCGTCAGGTGTTGATACAAAAGTCACATCAGCTGTAATATACAAGGTGTTGTTTTAAAGCCGCGTCATTTTCCAGGAGGTAACTCAGCTATCGATTCTGAGTCCGAATCAATAAAAAAAATTGTAGGTAAATATTTTTCATTTTTCTGTAAATTACGGAAATCCGTAAGTGGGCCATTATTTTTTTCCAGGGCCCAAATTGATTAACTGTGTCGTTAAAATAATATTATAACAAATTATTAGTTATTTATTTTTTTTGGTTTAATTTAGTTCTATCAGTATTTAAAGTAAACAGTACAGGCATTAGCAGCGATGTTTTTTTACGATTTATTGTTTTATTTGATATTAATACAAGGAAAGGAGTAGAAAAACAACAACTGCGTTACTTACTTAGAATAATCAGTTTTATTGTAGGAACTTTTACGTCAATTTTAAAAACCTACCAGACATAAAGTTAAACAAGTATTACAATAATCTTTTAATGTAAAATCACAATCATCTCAGTCTAATATATTATTTTCTAATTAAATTTACCACTGCGTTACGTTATTTTCATTTAAGCTACTGTGATTTCTCAAAATATGCCATAATAATTGCAATTTCAGCTTAATATTTATAGTATAGGTTGAAATATGGTAGATAAACAAAAAAATATTAAATTTATATTGTTTCAAAATTATATTAAAAGCTTTAGAGCTCTTAACATATTCAGGAAAAGAGGGACAAAAAAGTAACGCAGTAGTTGTTGGATAGGTAACGCAGTGGTAATCGTATCACAACACTAAGTGTTTTTTCGCTTTAACTATTAGAAATGCTCTAAAACAATTATAAAGTATGTAAAATAAAATCAAACTTCTCCTTATAAAAACAAAAACAAAACAAATTCCTCTCAAATTAACATATTTTAACATAAAATCTTTGTCTCGTCAGTCTTATTTCTCAAATATATTTAATGGAACATCAAATTCGTAATACACACGTTTACCTTTCTTAATTATTTTAGGATTAGGAACAATCTCAACAATATTATCATATGGTTCGTACGAAACATCCCTTTCAACAAGCTTGAACCTTTTACCGGAATCGTCAACTGCTTTTAGAAACATAACTTTAATCTCTCCTTCGTCATCGACATTGCTTTGGCAAACACCCAGATAATAGTACAATTTGTCTTTGTCTGAAGAAACTTTAACAATAACGTAAACACCGGAAAATATTTTAGTCGGATGCACATTTTCTTTTTCAATCAAGTTTCTATCATGTGTATTAGATACTGAAGCCTCTTGTTGTATTTTAAGCTGTGAAAGAAGTTCATCATCTGAACTCGAAATTGGAGAATAAACCGATTCGTAATAAAATTTCTTAGGATTGTCTACAATATTAGATATGTCAGTTAATACTTCTAGTTCGTTCATATATTCTAAGCTGTCTCTTTCTGGAATTAAATCAAAGGGAATTTCTAAATTATTGCTTATTTTTGTTGGGCTAATGGGGCTGGCAGAAACAGGAAGTGGCTGATATGTTTGAGGTGAAAAGCAAGCGCAAAAGCCCCTTTGGCAGAAGCAACTAAGATCACGATACTGCAATAAGCCAGGAGTGTCTGAGAAAACTTGATGGACCTGCATTGTACCGCGGAGAGGAATTAAGCCGTGGGGAATAGCCTGCTCTACCTTTTGAATGTCGTCGTTAGTGATGTAATACAACTGAATTTTGCTAGAGTCTTTCAAAGTATGAAAGAAAGTCTCCGCGTCAGGAATGTCAAAGCCAGTAGCTACTTTTTGGTCAGCTGTGCGTTTTAAATAGCCACCGACACCATCAGCCGCACCCTTACCATGACCAGCTTCGAAAAAGTTCCAGGTTATGCGATCAAAGCCATAATCGACAAATGTTTTCGAACAGATAAAATAAAAATTTACTGCCTGCCTGTACTGCGTAGCTGGACCATCGGAAAAAACATGAATTGTTTTTATGTGTGGATGATTAACCTTTAATGTGCTGATAACTGGATGGAGGTGTGCCCAAATGGATGCAGGATTATGAGAGTTATTCGGTGATACACTGCAAAAAGAAGTAACTTGTGCCTTTTCTGCTTCCTTTCGTTTTATATACAAGACACCTGTATGCAAAGTAATTTGCTGGCGCGATCCACCAAAATGGTGATGCTGGATTTCTTCAAAATATTTTCCATTATAATTTTCACTAAAATCTACATGCAGGAGAGCTTCGTCATTTTTAAGATCATCTATTGCGAGCCGGTAACTTCTATATTGCATTTTAATATTATAAATATGTTTCTTCAATACTTGTATAGCTAATTTAAATTTTTCTATCAATTCTGCAACAGAACTTGTGATAATTTCTTTTATGCTTTTTGTGATTTTGACTTTCTTGCCAGATTTGTCAATAACTTCAGACCGTCGAACCCGTCGAACCCGTTACGTAGAATGGTCTATGCTTGGTGAAGTAAGAGTATGAGCAACACTCGATAGGGTTCTCTTTTTTGAAAGAAATAAAAAGATTCTTCATTGTATCAAGCAGATACCTCTTTTGCGCCTTATTTTTTTTGTAAGTCACGGTTTCTCGTTTCCCAGCGGTTATCCTAGAAACATCATCACGGTCAAAAAATTGACGAATCTTTTTTATCAGAGTAGCTTGTTTAGGTATTGTCTGCCTATTTTTTAACTTATTGATACCAAGAGTTTCTTGAACAATGGAGGTTTTCAGCCTGGAATCTTTTATGATATCTTCGTCAAAAATACGCCTGATAGCTAAACGTTCTTTAAGTTTCTTTATTCTGGAGTAATGGTTTTTAATAGCGTTAGACAAAGCTATATATTTTTTGTGTCCATTTTCTGAATTTTTCCCTTTTTGTCTTTGATATCTTTTCTTGTACTTGTTACATTTTCTTTTCAATTTCTCGTTTTCTTCCTCCAATTTCTTATTTTGTCTGTATAATGCAGATCTGTCTCGTCTTACTTTCCTTCTTCCTCTGGAACTTGGAGAAACCGGAGTTCCTGATCGTGGTGTTGAAGCCGGTGTTATATCTAGAATAACTTGCACACTTTTCTGGCGTTCTCGGCGTTTCCTGTTTGCCATCTTCCATTTACGCTTTGCAGATCTATGTTCTCTCTCTGTCATATCCTTCACAAGTTTTTTAGTAGCATGATATCTCTGAAGATGTTTGCTTTTAGCCTCAGCAAGTTTCACAGGGTCCTGTTTCAATTTTTCCCTATAACGCCGTTGTTTTTCTGCCGGTGTTAACGCCATTATATTGAAAATAATATACTGCAACAAAATAACCCGATAATTAATTAAGTGAACTATAAAACAGCTAAATAAACTTCGAAAACTGTTTACTTTGCAACTGCGTTACTGTACGTACTACTGCG